TCATGAAACAACTAATAGAGCTCTAAATTAAGTAAATTCGTTTATCATAAATACAATCATTTACCGCATACTTACCGCATTGAGATTTTCAAAACAAACGTATAGAGTCAATAACATAAACAATATCATAATCTTATATGCAATCAGTCGGCAATAATAAATTTTTTCTTTATCAGCGTAATGGTATCCATGGAGATCCATAGGGATATATATCCCCACTACACATGAACCTTTATTCAATATTTTCAAATAACGGGTCATCTCCATACCCCATCCGGTATGAGGGTAAAATGGGTCGTCCTTATACCCCGTCCGGTATGAATGTCAAATTACCAATCCTCGATAACATGTCCGATATGAGGCAACGTTCACGGTAGGGTTCCCTATATACATGGACCATCCACCATCTCCCAGGATATCCAGTAAGATTGACGTTCATTCATCCACTTAATCAAATAATTTTTCGTTTACCTTTAATTTTCAGTTTCTCAATTAACTGTAAATCACGTAAAATAAACAACACATGTATCAAGGAAACATAATCGAATTTTCATACCAATTCTAGTGTATTATCATGCATTTAAAACTATAAAATCACCAATCAGTTAAACATTGCAAACAGTAATAAATAATTGGTTTTGGCTCCATTAGTAACCTTTAATTATCGATATTTCTAAATTACGTAAAATATCATATTATTTATAATTAGACTTCAATTCTATAACAAGGAATAAGGTGAGGAATTCTTACGCAAATTGATGTCCAAGATGCTAAACTATCAGTCGCGCCTACTAACGGTCCCTGGGTTTACTAAATTTTCATTCAGAGATTAAAACACACTTCAAGTACCTAGAAATATCTTAAAAATCAAAAATTAGTCTTAGGAACTCTTTTTGGCTAATTCTGAAATTCTGGCACGGCGCCTCCGCCATGCTCTGGCAATAGTACTGCCGTCGGCGACGATGGTTTATCTTGGGTTGGCCATTTTCGGTCATTTTCGACCGGTTTTGTATCCATCCTTGCGAGAAAATACGTTAAGGGACCTCGATTGACCCAAAAAAATCGAAAAACTAAAGCTTACCGGCGACGGAGATTTCTGGTGCAGCGGCTCACCTTTGCGGTTGGGTGTTTTGCTTTGGTCAACCTGTAGAAAAATGAATGGTGATTACAATGGTGAAAAAATTACATAAAACAGGAATCGGAAAAGGCCTCATCGGATGTAGTTTTTACTTTTCTCCCAGCGGCACCACTAGGGTTTTCCCGCAGTTTTTGGCTCATCTGTCGATCTTTTTGCTCTAATTTGGCTATAGGGTGTTCAAAATTTAATTTCAAGCGAATGAAAAAAATTTTACCTCTTTTGACCGCTAGAAGTGACTCTGGCGCGGCGGTCGACTCCCTTCCTGGCGGCTGGCTCTTCTTCTCCAACGGGGGGGCGAGGGGGGTCTGGTAGTTAGGGTTAGGGTTTTCAGTGAAGAGGATTATTTATATCCGCCTTCTTTTAATCTGGACCGTCCACAGCATTTGATCTGGATCGTCTGATTGCGTTTAAATAGGACTTGGATCTGGACCGATCATCGCGATTTGATCTGGACCGTCTGATCGCGTTTTAAAGGGAGAACAGATCCGGACTGTCCGTGCACGCAGGAACAAATTCCGATCGTCTGATTGCGGGCATGCAGATCGCCCAACTAGTCTCCCGTGTGAGACTGTGTCAGCGTGCCTTACCACGTGGCACATCCGATTCGTCAGGGCTGCTGACTGGGTGTCATACGTGGCGCAATTTTCTTAAATTATATTTTAACCTCCAGTTTCTGATTTTTCTTTCAAAAAAACCCTTATAACCCAAATTTTCACCCCTTTTTCCCAAAATTATTTTCAATTTCATCCTTCACCTATTTTTCTTTATTTTTACATTAAATAAAAAATTAAAAAAATTACAACTCCCCCCCCCCCCAAAGAAATTTAATCCCTCAAATTTGTCTCTCTCTCACTCAATCAAATAGTTGGGGATATTGGACTCTGAATTCTGATTCTAACTCCCATCTGGCCTCTCCCGATATGTGATTCTGCCATAGAACCTTAACGAAAGAAATTTTTTGATTGCGACGTACTCTACTCTTTCTGTCTATAATGTCGACTGGTATCTCCTTGTATGACAGATCCTCCTAGAGCAGAAGGGGTTCGTGAGCCAAGATGTAAGAGGGGTCCGGGTTGTACTTGCGTAGCATGGACACATATAACACATTATGGACCCTGAATAGTTCTAGAAACGTGCCAGTCTGTAGGCGGTGTTGTCAATTCTATCTAAGATTTTAAATGACCCAATGAATCATGGATTTAGATTCCCCCTCTTACCAAACCTATTGATTCATTTGAAATGGATGATCTTAAAGAACACCCGATCACCTTTCTCAAATTTCAATTCCCTCCTCTGAGTATCCGCATAAATCTTCTGTCTGCTCTGAGTAGTCTGAATATTTTTTCAGATCTTAACTATTTTGGCTGTAGTCTCCTCTACAAAATCTGGACCGAACAATTTTCTATCACCCACTTCTTCCCGACAAATTGGCGATCTGCATGGACAGTCATACAACGCCTCGTACGGAGCCATGCTAATACTTGCTTAGTAGTTATTATTGTAGGCGAACTCTATTAAGGATAAATGATTATCCCAATGGCCCCCGAAGTTAAGAACACAAGCTCGGAGTATATCCTCCAGTGTGCGGATCGTTCTTTCTGATTATCCATCAGTCTGAGGGTAGAATGCAGTACTAAGGGACAGTTTTGTTCCCATGAACAGTTTTAATTTTTAGTTTTCCAATTAACTGTAAATCACGTAAAACAAACAATACATGCATTAAGGAAACACAATCGAATTTTCAAACCAATTCTAATGTATTATCATGCATTTGAAACTATAAAATCATCAATCAGTTAAATATTGCAAACAGTAATAAATAACCGATTCCGGCTCCATTAGTAACCTTTAATTATCGATATTTTTAAATTACGTAAAATACCATATTATTTATAATTAGACCTCAATTCTATAACAGAGAATAAAGTGAGGGATTCTTACGCAAATTAATGTCCGAGATGCTAAACTTTCAGTCGCACCTATTGGTGGTTTCCAGGTTCCCTAAATTTTTCTTTGAGGATTAAAACACACTTCAAGTACCTAGAAATATCTCAAAAATAAAAAATCAGTCTTAGAAACCCTTTTTGGCCAATTTTAGAATTCTGGCACAGCGCCTCCGTCGTGCTCCGACGACGGCATTGCCGCTCATGACGGCAGTTTGCCTTGGGTTGGCCGTTTTCGGTCATTTTCAGCCAATTTCGGTCGATTTTGTACCAATTCCTGCGAGAA